AGAACTGCCACTCCCTCGAAGTTGTTGACAACCCGCAAAAGCAGCCCATGTAGAAAACGTGATTTACTAATGGAAACAATGGAACCGCGTAGGTCAGCACAATTTAATAAATTTAGCGGCAACCTAGGTACAATGTTTAGATTTTAATTAGGCACACTATCACTTTTGTGAGCAATTCTCGTATCAAGGAATGTACACTGACGTTGAGAAATTTTGAATTAGTGGAAAGTGTAATCGGATTACCGGTTAAAGTACCTACAATTTTAAGTTTGAAATAGAAAAAACGCAAGCTTCCCGAGGACACACAAAAATATCAATTTTACACGTTCTGAAGGCTCCCGTTTTATTGACAATCAATGGTTCAAGTACACCAAATTGTTATCCAACAGAGTTGGACTCCGTTACTTTGTTAAACTGCAAAATGATTTCTTTAAAGAGATCCAGCTGCACAAAAGTATGTTTATAAGAAGAGGATTCAACACACACACGCATGGATGAAATAATCCAATAAATTAGGAAGCCGAGTTTTTTAATGGATCATGAAGCGGCAGGGAACGCCAGAAGACCACTCTATTAAATTTAAAATAACCGGCGTTACGGCTAATGCTATAAAATTTTTTTGATTTAGGCCCTCGTTACGTAACAATCGCGCATCGGACAAACAGCACATACAGCGTGTCATGGTATAACTCCCTGGAAGATCCGAACGGTCATTATGTGTACAAAGTGCGAGCCATCGAGGAAGAGCACGGTCAAACTTTTACATGCACTCCAAAGAATGCAGGCAACTACCAAACCTGTCAGGTAACCAATCTCAGAGCTGGTTGGAAGTATGAAGTTTCGGTGTCCGCGTGCACCTCTGAGAGCTTTTGCAGTGACAACAGCAAGCCGGTCATTGCGGAAACCTTGCCAAATCGTGAGTCGACAAAATCATATTGCCACCACCACCACCACCTCTGATGATTAATTCAATGGCAGAACAATGTAAAATGCTTCTTGATTCGTGCGGTGACTTTTTAGTCATAAAAATAATACGGATATCCATGATAAAACGGACGACGACAAACCGAAGCGAAGTGAACATGACCTGGATGTCACAAAGTGCAATGAGACTTGATTTATATTCCCAGATGGAACCGAATCATCCAGCCAAGGAGATTTATTTTAGCCTACAAATATTATATACAAATATTTTTCATTGTTAAAAATGAAAAGAATACGTGCATCTTCATATTTTGCACTCATACTTTATTTTACTTTTGTGCATTGCTCCGAACGATCCAATTGCTGGCAGCGCAAGTAACTTGTCAACACGATTAGTTGAAAAAAAATATCCACAGATTGGGGAGCAAAGGTCTAGTTGAATGATTGGGACGTTCGATTTTAGTATATGCTTTCTACATTGTTCGATGGAACTCTAAGCGAAAACAACTAACATAGCAGATGCAATAAGACATTTCCATTATGTTTGCCCTCCTAGATGGAAAAGAATCATGTCACCAAGGAGGTGCATTTCGGCCTAGGAACATTTTATAGAAACAGTTTTTTTTTTCATGAAAATGAGAAAAAATAGCATCTGCTTTACCATGTTCTGTACTCATCATTTATACGTTATTGTTCTGCATCTTTCCGTAAACTAATATGCACAAATCGGAGAGATTTTAACTGGAAGACCTAAAAGACAGTCTTCTGACAATAAAACAAGCAGGCGAACGTCTTGATCAAAGAAACTGTTGAGAGTTTTGTTATCCATATCTGAAAAACAGAACGATTAGAACATTAGATTTTGTATTTAAGTATTTAACTTCTACATTGCTACAGGGCCTCAAGGTGAGAAAAACTATGTTTAGCCTTCATTCCATTCAGTCCCCTCTTAAACAGAATTTAAAAAACACTTGTAAGTACGTCCGCGTCTCAGCCCGTACGAAAATCCCACAGATGCTACAGCACCGACACACCATACTCATTTTGTTATAGCTACCAAGTACGAAGATTTCATGTTGACAACTGAATACTCTTTGTCCAGAATTAACCCCAATGTCTTCTTTTCTATAGCGCCATTTGGCCAGGACCTTAACGAAAAACACCCTGACAGTCTGGATATAGCCTTCCTTACGCCAGATGAAGAACGAAAATCGGGACGGTATTACTACATAGCCCGCCTCGAAATAATTGGCAGATATTATGAAGGTCATACTACTGGCTGTGGATTTAACCCACCACTTCAATACACCATCTGCTCAGTGCCAAAACTTGCAGAGGGCTCAAAGTACAAATTCCGTGTGTTTGCTTGTACTATGGGTAGTCGCCTCTGCTCGGAGGGCACTCCCGTTGTTGTCGAGACCTATCCAGGAGGTAAGAAACTCTGAAGAAACCTGAATTCACCTCTGTAGTACGTGTTTTTAAACATTTAATCCCCCCTAGGTAAAAATGTTTATAACAGCGGTAAATTTAAATATCGGGGTGCCAACCCTCGAGATTGGGTATTACTGGCTGATGATGGCTAATAAGC